TAACATGGTTGTAAAATCACGTTTTTTCAGCCACTTCTAGGCAAGCTACGTCCAAATGAATTGTTGCAAGTGGAAGTGCTATCCTTCATGCCCGTTGTCTCAAAAAATGGGAATGATCCCACTTTGGAAAGTGTCTTGAATCATGTCCTACTTTCATAGTATTCTCAGGGTTCAAATAATTGGTGTGTCATTTTTTAACAAATTTGTAAAATGGCATCACAAACTGAGATATTCGGTCATCAATGTTCTGAAGTTGATAGATATCACTTCGAGGAATGCTAGTGGATGAAAAATAATCTGTCAACTGCATTGTATGCTGCCGCAAAGCCGTGTTTTTGTATTTGTAACTAGTGGCTGTGTCATACGGTAGAATTGGATAGGTAGCATAGCATCGCAGCCATGTTTTCGTTCTCACAGAGTGTATTCCGTGACCTACTGTTCTTCACTGTTGTCTTTAGTGACGGCAAGACGGCCTGACGTCGTCCAAAGGCCCTGCGGAAGCAATTCACAGCCCTCCTCGTCCATTCAAGGGCTTATTTTACACATTTTACACAAAATGGCAAAGCACCCACCACTAGTTATACCGACGTGGCAGGGAGAATTAAATTATATGCACCAAATTGTCTAGTCAAATGTTGATCTACGATAAACTGGCTCTCATTTGTCACCACCCATGTTTCGATACAGCCATCCGGAGCAGAGAAACAGCCAGAAGAAAAGCAAATTTTACACATTTGTTAAAAAAAATGCCAAATGTTTAAAAAAAGCCAAATCACTTCGTACATTGAAAAAATAAAGGACCGTGCTTATATATACTCCCACCACCATTGCCCAACACATCCGTCGCCTAAAGCCCAAGAAGGCGGCAGGTGCAGATGGCATATCCCATGAACTGCTAAAAGCCCTGTCTCCTAGTATAGCTATCCCTCTCAGCCTAGTTTTCAACCAGTCCTTCGCCACCGGAATCTTCCCTGATGTCTGGAAGGCAGCTGTGGTTGTGCCTATTTACAAGAATAAAGGCAGTAAACTGTCTGCATCCAATTACCGGCCGATTTCACTCCTTTCCACCATTTCAAAGCTCTGTGAACGTGTGGCATTTGGCCACTTATACCAACATGTGAACCCGGTCCTTGACCCGTCACAGTCTGGATTTCGGCGAGGCGATTCGACCGCCTGGCAGTTGCTGAGGCTTGTGCAGAAGCTATATGAATGCAAGGATCAGAAGCAATTTAGCCTCCTATGTTTTTTCGACCTCAGCAAAGCATTTGACACTGTCTGGACAAGGGGTCTCCTCCATAAGTTAGCAGCGTTTGGCGTAGCCGGGACGTGTCTGCAGTGGCTCACCAGCTATCTCACTGAACGTCGACAGAGTGTCCGAATTGGACATGCCCTGTCCGCCCCTCTAACAGTCCACTCTGGAGTGCCCCAGGGCTCTATCTTGGGGCCTCTATTGTTCATCGTATACGTTAATGATTTGGCAGGTTTGGATCATACCTCACTCTACGCGGACGATACAGCGCTCCATATAACCGAGCCAGGCTTATTGCAAGCCTGCGACTCGCTACAGTATCACATTAATCAAGTTGTGCGCTGGATGTCGAAGTGGAAACTCCGCCCCAATGTGTCGAAAACGGCAATCCTTTGTATCCCCCCACGACCCTCCAGTGACCTCACCCTCCTTACGACCCGGCTTTTTACTTTCCCTGATGATCCCATTGCTATCAACATTGTTAAAAATCACAAACACCTTGGTATATTTCTTGATGAACACTTGTCCTGGGATTCGCACGTAACCTATATTGAAAAGCGAGTTTGCTCCGCGATAGGCTGCATTTCTCCTCACATCTCCCATCTACACCATGGTTGTCGAATACAAATTTATCACTCTTATGTTCTTCTCTTTGTTTGTTTGATTACTGCTCTCTCGTTTGGTCCTCCGGTCTATCCTCCGCTCTTATGCATCGGTTAGAAGTCACCCACCGTAAATTACTTCGATTAATATTTCGCATGCCCCCTCTGACCTCCTCTCAGACGCTATACATTTTGGCTTCCTCTTCCCCTCTCTCAGAACGCTTTCCCCACTCGGCATGCAAATTCATTCACCGTATTAAGCTTCAACTTGCTCCTCCTCATGCACTTGCGCATTTAAGCTGGTTCAATAATAGCTCGCGTACTAGATGTTCTCTCCATTTCCCACTTGCCAGGTCATCGATCCTTTTAAAATCCCCTCTGTTCAAGTCCTATTCTCATTGGTCTCGGCTTCCGCAGGAGGTAAAGTCTCGTGACACCTTCGCTGCATTTTGTTCCATTCTGCCCGCGCCTAAGTTGAATTGAATTGAATTCGTTGTTTTCATTTGCTAGCCTAATCTTCATACTGCTCTCTCTAGGTTCCTATAGTGCTCCTTTTGTTTTGTTTTCTTTTCTCTTTTTCTTCTTCTTTTTCTCAGTTGTCCCCACCATGGCTGGTTAAAATCGCCCGCATCACATGCTTATTGGCACTATGTCATCGTGATTGTGAAATAATAATACACTCAGACGTCTCTTATCCGGGCACCTTGGGACCGGGCACTGCCCGTATCTCAGATTTGCCCGTATCTCAGGATAACTCATCTACCATGTATCATTATCATTTTTGAAGAAGTTTTTTTGGCGCATATTGCACCTGTTCAGGTTACAAAATAATCCATGGATAAAAATGTATGGATTACACAGGTTGGGAGTGGCAAATAAGCACTTGTGCATTCGGAAGAAAAGTTCAACCCCCCCAAATTGGAAGCATTTTTGCCATAGGAACTCAAGCTGAGGGTGGCCGGTACAGAGACGTGCCCGTGTCTGAGGCGTCCGGATAAGAGGCGTTTGAGTGTAATAATAATAATATTAGAGATAATACGGTATGTTCACATACCCAACTCGTAAATAATAATGAAAGACAATGTCAATGGTATTGAGACTAGGACAAACGCGACAACTACTGAGCAGGGGCTGCACCGAGACGCAGTAGTGATGGTGGGACATTGATGGCTCTGCCGAACTGAGGTCTCGGCATCACGGCCCAAAAACGCGCACCAATACATTGTACCCAGGTTGTTCCTGTTAGTGTGTGCTCATCTGTTCATGTGATCGCGTAGATTCTACGGACAGACCATGGTCGCTACAGTAGCATACAATAGTCGTGTACATGTGCGAGCACACTCAGCGCCACCATGAACGCTAGTACCAACAACTGGACGTCGCTTTTCCGGTCCTTCTGTCGACAGCAGAAAGTCTCTGCTGCCCAGCAATTACCGGATTAATCTTGATTTATGCTTGCGATCATACTGTAATTGTTGCTTCCAGCGATTCATACGAAATAGTCAGTTTGCCCTGCTACATGCAGAGATGGAGACAAGGCGGTTTGGCATAATATTAATAAGGAGCACCCGGGACATATCGCGCAACCTAACGCACTCCACGCACACAGCCACTGCCGCTTCACAAACACAATATTAATATTTTAAATCTTTCAGCCGAGCAACTTGCTTTCCTTTACACCGTGTCTGGCCTGCTTACCTTTTATTCTTTCTTGCGCGTTTGTATCCAAGCTGCTTATTCCACCCATGCTGACGGGGCGCTCGTCAGTCAGCACCAATCAAAACAACCGCAACCCTAGATGGCCTCCGACACGCAACTACAACAACACTCCACAGCTGCGAGTAAGAACAACAGACTAATACTAGTACTATTACTACTGTCCTGAGTCTGTTTACACAGTTTTGTTTGTAAAGACCTACAACTACTTACTTACTTACAAGTCATCATGATCCGAGTGCATCACCATGATCACAGCACTCAGCTCAGGCCAACCGGCTAAATCACCACACTGTCACACTAGACACAGGTCATGACTTGAGTCAGGCCATGCTTTAGCACTCGCACAGGACCCCCGGCCCGGGTCGGTTTAGTACTTGCAACCCGGATGCGGCCTGGGCCTGCGTGCCTGTGGTGGATATGTGTCGACACTGTACTGCCGAACTAAACTGGACGATAGCGCTAGCAAACTGGACATGACTATGATTCATGAATGGATGCGGCTGAAGCCCCCCCCCCCTTGCCGCCTTGGCCTTCCTTTCTTTCGTGTGGTTCCTGCAAGGCTGCATGCACTACCTGGCATGCAGTGTACACTGATGTTCGGTACTGGACGGATCCCAGGAGAAGGAAGCAACGGACCTCGTTGTCTAAACCAGGGTCTATACGACTCCCTGGTCTAAACTAAAGTCTAAAGTAGTAAAGAGTAACGACTTACGCATACAATCATGTACCTCTAGAGCCTGTGAACATGCATAGAGTATTTTTACTACAATGTGTGCGAGGGTGTGCATTGTACACATTGTGAGCCTGTGCATGCACGCACACACACACACACACACACACGCGCGCGCGCGCGCGCACACACACACACACACAAACACACATACATGTACATGCACACACACACACACACACACACACACACACACACACACACACACACACACACACACACACACACACACACACACACACACACACACACACACACCATGTACATGTACCATGTACCATGTATGCCATGGTATACGCCCGTCGCAAGAGAAGCACGCAAATCTGCAGATGCACTGGATGTGCATCCACAGATTTTCTCTTTTATAATATTATACTTTATAGCAACGATAGCGGATCTGATTCTGATTGAATCAGATCAAGACAAGCGCCAGATAACTGTCTAATCCACGCGACTGGCGAAGCCATGTGAATCGACCCACCTGGTCTACACCACACGGAGTACATCGAAATAGGAGGGCCAAGACAGCTACCTATGCACACCCTACACTTGCTGGGGTAACCAGTACTGTATAGACAGCACGCTGCTTTGATAAAAGCAGACACTAGATGCACTGGTACCTTGAAGTTGAAGTGAAATTGGAGGTATTTTACCAACCAGCCTCGGCAACTGGGTACTGGGAACCCAGGGCCAACAGAGGTACCAACAACCTCAGCCATAAAAGCTATAATTATAGTCACACATGAACGACACACTGGATTTTGGAGCCGAAACAAGTCCAACTTCCAAAATGCTTTGGCAAGAGGGTAGCCTTCCGACACACACACACACACACACACACACACACACACACACACACCTTGAACCTGAACCTTGAACGCCCCTTGCCGTAGCAATGATAGCGATGGCTTCCTCACGCTGAGGCTCTAAACTCGAAATCTGCAGTGTGGCGCATGCCGCTTGAGGTCACCAGGACGACGGAACACTCTGTCACAGCGGTAGTTGGGGCATGGTATCGTATGTCTGGCCCTGGGGATTCCTTCCCGACCCTCTGTCGACAACACTGAAACCAGGCGGCTCTCTCCTGCGCTGTGTCATACGAGTCCGCTTCAGGCAGACCGATGACAGCAAAGTCAGAGGACACAACATCCCGCCCGCGCTTCTTGGGACTATGTTGAGGGCGTTTGCAGGGCAGTTCGCCGAACAGCATCTGCTTGGGCAGCTGGGTCTCCGTTATCCGTGCAACATGACCAAGCCACCGCAAGCGGTGCTTCCTGATCACATCGGCAATGTCGATGTCCACCCCTGCCAGCTCACTCAGCGATGCTGACGACAATCTCTCCTCCCATTGCTCACGACGAGAGATACCGAGAATTGTGCGAATACACTGATGGTGAATGGTGTTGAGTTGGCGAATATGACCCGCTTTGATGGGCCATGTCTCCGCACCGTAGAGAACACACACACACACACACACACAAACATACACACACACACACACACACACACACACACACCATTGACCATTTGACGCCCATCGCCGGAGGCGATGATAGCGATACTACAGCAGGAGCCATAACAGCTTGCGCTGGGATTGCACCATTCAGCAGCTTACAAGGCTGAAGTGAAGAATTGACCGCCACTATTCAGCCTGGTCTACACCATACACACACCACACACATACACACACTACTACTACTACTATGATACAGCTACCCTAAACGGGTCACGCCGCCCTCCACCCAAGCATGAGCACTATGAGGGGCAGTGGCAAATAAATAAATAGAATCAGCTAGCAGAACTGGCAAAACAGATGAAGCAATGGAGCAGAACGGACGACTGCTGTACTGTAACAACAACCTGAGAGCTACAGTGACAACGACTGAAAATGAACAGGAAGGAAAAAAAATTCAAAATTTCACGTCACGAAAAAACACTGTCCACGAAAGAATCCACCAAGCAAAAGGAGTGTGGGCATCCGAAATCCCACCAGGACTCCACTAGCAGTTCTTCCACGTTGACGATGTAAGCGGCAGGGCAAGGCCTCACAAATCCGACAGACTTCCACAACGCTTGACCAGTGCACTCATGACGACGAAAGATTGAAGTTTCAATTCCCACTATTCCGCCATTGGGACCTTTCTCTCCGCACTCGCTCGTCCACTCCACTGAAAACAACGAGTTGTTCCAGCACTCCACTAGCCAATCCGCAATTCCCACCACTGAATTCTTCGAGCTTGGATTCTTCACAGCACTCGAGGGACAGCTACTCCACTGCGAGTGGTGGACCACGGCCGACGCAGCAGTGACAATATCAAAGTAAATTGTCCTGCAAGCTACATCGCGATTCCGCGCTCCAATCATGCAGCACTACCTTGGCAGTGTGCGAGGGTGCTCCAGGGTCGACTCTGGCTACGCCAGAGTCGCCCTGGGCAGGCAGAAAACTTGGGAGAAAGCCAAGAACACGGAGCTCAGAAAGTGTAACCTGCTACACACCCACACACACACACACACATACACACACACACACACACACATACACACACACACACACGCACACCTCAGACCTGTCCATCGCGGAAGCGATGATAGCGAACAGCTATGTTAGACATAGCAACTTGTGCTGGGATTACACCATTCAACAGCTTGCAAGGCTGATGAATTGACCGCCACTATTAGTCCGTGAGCCAAAACTCAAAATCACAAGTGCCGTTGCACTCTCGGAGGGACAAGTCACCGCTTACAGTGTTGGTCAAGGACATCACAAAGGATACGTTTTCGCTTGTTGGACGTTCCAGAACTGATCCAGAGACCTTCGGGAGGGCTTCTTTTCTCGACCAAATTCCACCGTGAGAACAAATATTTTTACGCGAGTGGTGAGGTGTGCATCGGACGAGTAAGCACAAAAGTACGATTTCGGGTGGAATGAGGAAAAATAATTTATTTTTTAGAAGATAACGACGTTGACGACAATATGGATTTGGGGTTTTGAGATCACTTTATTGAAGTTTATTCCTTTCGTGTACATTGATGTTGTTTGACAACAATGGAAGAGGAGGAAGACGTTTCTAGTGGCAGCGAGGTGCCAGATGGGGCAGCTGACGGCAACGAAGTGGCAAACGACAGCCCAGCGGAGTAATATTGCTGGAATTTATGTCTGTGTGACAGCACCCAATTTAGTAGAAACGAGAAGCCTGCAGCGAGTAATATCGAGACTACAAGTTGGCGTCGCATCGTCAGCGCTGTTCGAGAGAAGGACGACCATGTCTGGGATTTTCTTTGCCAGCACAAGGGCTCAGGGAAGAGCAAATGGTGTGGCTGGTATCATGGAAAGTGCTACACCAATTGCACGCATGTGATCCTGAGCATTTGCAACACTGGAGAAGACCAGTGCCTCTGATTTTGCTTTATCTATACTTACTGACAGTGATGTGCATGTAGTAGTGAACCCAGAGCCACATCCTAAGGCCAACAAGGGGCTACCTACCAGGAGCTTAGTGGCTGATACGAACAACGAATGCCATGAAAGCAGAGCACGGTGTCAACACAACACCGAGAACTGGTCCACCCAGAGTTTACGGAAGGGAATGTTTTGTTGCAGGCAGCACTGGCGAGGGCAAGACGACAAGTAGCGAGGGCGAAACCAGCGCTGCTGGAGGTCCAAGCCAGAGCACCTGGCTGCTTGACGAGGAACATACTATACCATTGTCTGTGTATGTGTGCCAGTGTGTGCATGCGTGTGTGCGTGCACGTTTCTGTGTGTGCGCGCGCGCGTGCATGTGTGTGTGCTCGTGCGTACATGTGTGTGTGTGCGCGCGCGCGTGCATGTTTGTGTGTGCGCGCGCTGGTGCATGTGTGTGCGTGCTAGGCGCTTTCCTTTGTTGGTGACACCACCCCAGGCTACAACTGCGGGCCGGATGGTGGGTGTCGGGGCACGGTGTTGCCACAATCACTGTGGTCAGTGTGATCCGTGTTTCAGGTCAGTGGTGGGTTTTAGCTCACTGCAGCCAAAGCGATCATGTTGCAAGTCAACCCGAGGGTTCCAGCTGCACAACTGCAACAAATGGATTCAAGAAAGTCTAGATCTCGCTAGGACGTTGATGCGAGCAGCGCCTCAGCCAAACTCTCCATGTCTGTCGGCCCCTCACACGAGGGGACATGTAACCGGAAACGGCAATGTTCAGGACAAGACAGGAAGTGTGTTCCGGCCGCGGGACATGCTGTTGCTGGTTTCGCAGCAGAGGAGCTTTGGCCGACCACACGTGCATCCCTAGATTGCCTTCACTCCCATCCGCTACTGGACTCTGCATCGGTGATCAGGCAGGCACCAGGGACATCTGCTTTTCCTTCGTTCGGTCGCTGTCCGTCTTGTGAAGAGAGATCAATTTATAACTGACGGCAGCAGGACCACAACAGACAACGGGCATC